GAGAGAGAGAGAGATGTGTGTAAAGAGAGGGAGAGAGACAGATGCATAATTCATAGGCCATGTCCAAATGACAAACTGTATGAAATGAGAATTTCATGCAGAAAAGGAAAGGGAGGGTGAAATAATGTGATGAGCATAACAGGTAAGAAAAAGACGGTGAGGGCTGCAAAGGGGACAAATGAAAGAAAAAAATAAAGCTGATAACAGAGGAGCAAAATTATAATCCCACAATAGCAACTGTGATTTTGACGCTGTCGCCACATGTGTACCTGGGGAACGACGACTCTCTGGGAGAACAGTGTTTCTGCATTATCTACAATAATATCATATTCTACACCAATTTAAACCTGATATATTGTAGAATATCTTAGATAAGGGATGAATATTTGATTCACATTGAAACTGAACTGAAACCAGACATTATATTATGACAAATGTAATAGCTTTAGGTGTGTACTACACTACTAAATGTTTGATAACAGCTCCAAATCAAAATCTGTTGTGTTTAGTACCAGATAATGAACTAGAATTGCATGCAGTGTGTTGCCACGGCTACAAAGGTCTATATAAATTGTCAGCTGTCTATTTTTAATGTCTTTAGCTTTTTATTTTTCACACCCAACAACACTAATATATCTCATCAAAGGAGACCAGTCTTTCAACATCTATATGGCAGACTTTGTTGTGTGAGCTAGGTGAAATAGAGATTGAGGTTCACTCTTTTGTTTTGCTGTCTTGTAAGGGATGTGTTTTTTTGGAAAATGTCCATTTATGTTGATTTCTTTTTGGCTGGATGATTATAAAGAACCTTTTTTTGTAGCAGATTTTATTTGCCAAGTTTGTAAGAGAATACTTTAACCTGTAATTTTGCTATGAAAATGAAATGTTTGACCACAGCAACTGTACTTTTGGTGTCTTAAAATACAGAAAACCAAGCCATCAACCATCAAATCTATATTGCATAAGGTACACTTATGTAATTCAAGTTGAGCTTACTGTATATTTTGCATACATACATGTACATACATACGTACTGGGACACCCAGATGACCCAGCAGCAAATAATAGAATTTTAAATCAGGAGAAACAATCACAAAAAGGGAATGCCATCTAAACTCTGTGCTATATATCACTTCATCTACAATCCTGCTTCCTATTCTTTTCATAGGAATATACTCTGTCTAACATTTATGATTATAAAGTGTTTTGCATTAGTATGCTTTACTATCTTGGGGTGTATACCAAGCCTACACTATCCTATAAATATGTTATTTTTATAACAGAAAATGAGATGTGCTAGATTTTTTTCATTTAAGTAAGAAAGGTTAGGTCTTATGTTTCATAAATAGACTGGAAACAACCTCAGAAACCATGCTAAAGAAAGCAAGAAGGAAGGAAAAACTTCGTGAATAAACCAAAAATGTTGGAGGAGCTGTGCTTTGTTTTTACTGTGTGTGCATTCTCAAACTAAGAAATTGTTCTGCTACTCAGTTTAACCATTTGTTCATCCTAGATCCAAAATTAACTTCCTGGACCCAAATAAATCATAATGTCACCTTGGGTTTGGACTTCGCATCACTCTTCTTCTTCTTCTGTGCTGCGAGGGAGTCTGAATCGGAGTCGTCCTCAGAGTCTGTCTCTGAGCTGGAGGAGCTCTCAGCTGATGAGCTGCTGGCCTGGGCTACAGGTCCATTACCATTTTCATCTGAGTCACTGAAACACACAAGAACAGCAAAACTTGCCTCAGACATGGTATGAATACAAGTAATAGAATAAAAGTGAAATAGAAGTTTGTGAAACAT